GCAGATAATCAAATCAATGAGAGAGAGAGAGAGAGAGAGAGAGAGAGAGAGAGAGAGAGAGAGAGAGAGGAAGAGAGAGAGAGAGAGAGAGAGATCTAGGATGGAGCCTGAGACTGAATTTCTAACTGCTTCTGGTGGCCCTAATGCTGCTGGCCCACTGTGGAGGGGAAAGTGACTATGAATCATTCAGGTGACCTCAGACTCAGGTGAGCACTCAGCAGCAGAAGAGTACAGGAAGAAGCCCGTAAGCTCAGCCTCTCATCTGCATCAGAGGGTCTCCATCTCTGGCTACACATTAGATACACCTAGAGATCCCAGCCCACTTCGGTCGGGCCTAAACCAACTAAGTCAGAATCCCTGAGAGGTAGGACCCAGGCACTGACTTTGTTCATTCTTCCAGGTAATCCTAATGTGGAGCCCTTAATCTACATAATTAATAAAAGACCGAAACAAGGCAGTGAGATAAATGTCTTCCCTTTTGACTGATACTATGTCAAACAGTGGATCTCTGATCTGCCCAAGAAGTGGGCCAGAGAAAACATTTCTTTTCCGAAAGCCAGATCTTAGTTTCTCTAGGCTGCTTTAGAACAGAACAGTTTAACTCTGAAACTATAAAGCTTAGACGTATATTTGTAATTTACCAAATCTCTCAAAAACCAGACTTCTTGCCAGGCTCTGGTCTTTGGGCCTTCTTTTGCTCTCTGTAAGTCTGTAAACTGTGATTTGCGGAACACATGTGAACATATTCAGTAGGGAGCAAGGAGCTCTGGCAGACCAGCTGACTGACTCTCCTTTCCACAGTTTACGCCTCCTAGCAAGGCCAGGGCTCATTGGTGGCTCTCTGTCCCTCACTATACTCCCAAAGTTGTTAGCCTACTCTTCCTTCTCATTCTCGCTCGGAAAATACTCATTTTCCACCAGACTCAGCACATTTTGATCACTGGGCTTCCTGACATGCCCACGGGAAGGGGAGTTCAGACCACTTCTATGTGTAGTGCCACGGTCCCCAATGAGCCTCGCCTTTTACCATCAATGCTTACTGGACAGCAGCCAATGTTGCTACACTGATGGTTCAGTTCTTCCTCAATGTCACCACCTGTCTTCTTAAGCTACCATTCATGTCTGTTTTATCAGCCTTTCCTTCTAAAACAGCAATCCTATCCCTTCAGCTGACTTCTCTTTTAGAATCTGTGGTTAGAGGTTTGCTTGCCTTTGAACAATAATTTTCTTCTTACCCAGCCTTCTCTCAGGCCTCACAAACACCCAGACAGTGTCTTTTCCAAAGATTTTCCTCACTTCTACTTCACCAATCAATTTTCCCTTTGTTCCTCAAGAGCACCTTTCCTCACAGCCTCCCTCTGTCTTCAGGACTGGGCTACCAAGCAGGCTGGGCAAGAACGCATCAGAGGCTCTGATCACGTTGGAACACCACCAGTTCTAACATATCTTGTCTCAAACATGCCACATAGTTGTGTTTCACCTGTTAAATCCACTTGGCTGAGGGCTAAAAAGTGTTTTCAAATCATACATTTGTTTTATTTTTTCTAATTTTCACTCATAATCTTCTCTGTCATGATCCTAAACTGATGCACATATTTTTTTTCTATGCAGATAAATGATCATTTCCCTACAGAACTCAATCACGCCTTTATTTCCCTTATGGATGAGTTTTTTTTCAGTCATGCCCAGGACCACGGTCACTTCTTGCTCCTCCTCCCTTTGCCTGGCTCCAAAGCTCTGCCCCAAAATTCTTTTAGCAAGTCAGGGATGTCTTGAGATAAACGTTTAATCTGTATTGCTTGTTTCCAACTCAGACAAATGCACCATTGTTTATGCATAAGGACTAACTCTTCACTATTTGTTCTAGGAATGAGCCGTCACAGTGCACTAGTTACCTACTATGTACCAGACATTACACATACTTTTATCTCAATCCTTACAGCAATGCTGCAAAGAAGGGTTGCGCTTATCTTTCCATTGTGAAAACTGACGCTCAAGAAATTAACTATTAACTTCTTTAATCAGCTGTCTTCACTACACTGCAAAGCTACCACTCAGGTAAAAAACGTGAATCAAACAGTCTCTGACATCAGCCTAACATCTAAATCCTTTCTGGAACTAGGAAGGAAGACTATGGCACAGAAATGAATCCATTCAGGTTTGTTATATACAGTCTACCAACTTCCCCAACTTCATGTTAAGACCTACACTTACCCCTACCCGCGGGGAGCGGCCTTAAAAATCCCAAACTACATTTCTTAGTAGAAAGGCTCTCCAGTACCCTCTATGGGGGTGAGGGGCCGCTGGGAGGGAGACAGTAAACCTATGATAAGCTTCCACCCTATCAGCAAGCAAAGCAAAACAGCTATCAGCAGGCAGCTCAAAGGACACCCCAAAGGCAGCTGGGAGAAATGGAGCCAAGATGGAAAGAAAGAAAAAGCACCACTCTAAGAGAGTGGAGGAAATGCCAGGGAGCAAAGATGCAAGTAGATTTCTGAGGCTTCTGCCCCACCTGAAGAAGCAGGGCACAAATGACCTTCCCAGCCCTGGGAGTTCCTTCAGCTTTGCACTGCTAGACCTAAGGGCTGGGCTCCCAGTGGTCCCCTGGGGCTGCTAAACACTTTGCTCAGGCAGGCTCTCAGCTCTGAGACTGTGCCAGAGACATGCCCATTAAATGTAATGTTGCCTGGGCAGTTGTTCCCAGGCTTTCAGCTTTCACAGACCAATTTAAAAAGAAAAAGGAAAGGGACCCACTAGTTACCATTTTGTGTTGTACAAAGGAAAAATTTTAATTTTTTTAAATCTTTCTACATATATCTTCACTTCATAAAAGAAAGCACATTTTAAATACTTGAGAAGCAGAAAAGGTCTGTTCCTTAGAACAAAATACTACTCTTTAAGTCAACAAAAGTTAGCTTTAAGAAAAAAATCTCACTTCACTGTCCCCACTACTATTTCTCTAGAAATTGGACTGTCTGTCCCAGTTTGACTCCCACCATGAAGCTGGGTTTTACCAGACTCCAGGGGCCTCAAGGAGCAGCCAGCCACAGCAAAGACCAGGGTGTGTGTGTGTGTGTGTGTGTGTGTGTGTGTATGTGCACAGACATCTCTCAGAAGCTTTGTCTCTAAGCCTTGGCCAACTCAGATGCCAGGTATCTTCACCATGACCACCCAGCAGCCTGCACTAGCAGCTTAAGAACACAGATGACAAGGTCCTGGCGTCACTCCCAGCCCCTCACTCATTGCCCCATCATTGCCAAAAGAAGCACTTCACACCATTCACGAGGGCCAATGGTTCCAAGAACCTCCAGCCCACAAAGCTCAGCCTCCTCACCCCTGAGATTTGGTTATGGGATAGAACAGAGTGAGACACTTAGAATGAGGAAGAAAATAAGCACTAGTAGGAAGGAAGCCAAGGAAATCAAACTTTACAAAGTACATGGGCAAGTTCTCCTTACATCAAAACGCCACACCCCAGAACTAAGCCTATACCTGATCCCACACCTTTTCAAAGAGGACCACTGGGGCAGCAGGACACTGACTCTCCCTTCCTCCCAATACCAGCAACATAAAGGGACTGGACACTGTCTCTGGGGTGGGGAGCTGCAGATGTGCTCTAGATAGCTGTTTTACCAGAGATGGTAAATAAGGCACTGAGTCTGAGGGCACCAGGTCATGACATACAGGGGATAAGGGAAGGTGGGAAGGAACAGAAACATCCCAGCAACACCCACTGCCCTGCCCCCATGCTTGGATCATTTTCCTAGCCACGGGACCACAGCCCCACCAGCTCACCACACAGCTCTGCGCTCAGCGGTCAGGGAAATCCCGAGTACATGCCGCCAGCCCATTGCAGCCACAGGTGCCCCAGCTCTCAGCTACAGTGGCTCCCCGCCCAGCTAGGGGCTTCAAAGGCCATCAAGCACAACTTGTTCATTTCCCCAAGGAAAATACAGACCTAGAGAAGCCTGAATTGTCTGGGCTCTAGGACAAATCAGTGGCAGAGCCTGGGGAGCCCTGGAAACAGCGCAGGCCGCTGTCTCTGTCCAGCGCCAGTTCCACTGACTGTAGCAACCTCAGCCGCTACACCACTCCGCCTAAACTGCTCAACTTCATGGGTCCCTACTTCTGCCAACTCTGCTGTTGTGACTGCCATGAACCTCGAGCCAGCAGAATGGAAAGGAAAGATGTACAATGTAGGCCACGGTGCCTCCATTTCTCCCCCAACTCCAGTGCTCTCATCCCAATTGCTCCTTCCCTGCTCAAGCCCAATTAAGAGGTTATTCCGTGGGGCTGACAGTGTCTCAAAAGCACATCCTTCATTCACAAATCAGTATCTTGGTACCTACTAACTGCCAGACAGTATAACGCAGTGCCACAACTGTTCCAGGTTCTGGAAAGATTTTAAAAGTCTTTGGCCTCAAGAAGTACTCAGCACTACACTGGAACCCAAATCACTTCTCTTTAAATTCCCAAGCAGTTTCAACTGGCTCTTGTCATCTAAGAGAAAGGATGGCACCTAAGAAAAGGTTTAGAAACATCTCCACTCCCATGTGAAAGCATAAAACCTCCCTTTCAGGCCAGAGCTTTCTCTCCAAGCCCATCAGCTGCCTCCATCCCTCACCTAATACTATCATCATCACTCCTCATGTCACCCAGACATGAGCATAACCTTAAAGCACAATATCTAAAGCTTCAAGCAGGATATGCTTCTAGAGATTAAGCTAGACATCACTGCCTTGCGTCAAGTGTAAAGATCCAAGATGCAGGGGCTACCCCAGCACTCTCTGGGACCCAATTACTCACATACAAATTGCCAGCCCCACAAAGTGGGCGAGTGCACCTTCCAATGTCAATTACACTTCTATTCATGTGTCCAAAGTTGGATCAAGAGACCAGAAGTGAGAGAATGGGCTTAACTGGAGGAGTCTTTTAACACGACCTTCATGATTACAGGGCTCTCAAGGAAGGGATGGAGAGCCTAGCAAGAGCCAGCTTACCTCCTTGAGAAGCCCCACTTTTTTCTTCAGCACCTCACACTTGCGAAGTTTGCAGATCTGGTGTGTGCGGCGGTTGGTACAGCTGGTGCAAGCCCCACAGTTTTCCAGCCTCCGGCAGGGCTCACAATTACCACACCGTTTCCGTTTCTTTCGCCCATCTCCATTCCCTCTCAGCTGGGCCTCACTCCCAGTCACAGGAAGCCCAGATCCCTGGAAGCCCCCTACCATCACTTGGCCCTGAGGGAAGTCATAAAGGCCTGGCAGGTCCGGCTGGACGGCCAGGGGCACCTGAAACTGGCTCATGATGCTGACACTGCCAGTGAGGAGAGCATAGGTCCTGTGCAGAACCACAATCCAGTTTCCAGCAGTTTCCTGTTGTCTGCAAAAGGCCACCAACAGGTCTTTCTCTCCTAAAACAGTCAATAATCTACAAAGGTGGAAGACAAGGAGCTCCCCGTCTCCAGGTTGGATGCCTCTTCACCTCCTCTGCAGCAGTCTGACAGGGCTTCCAGGGCCACTTTCCCACCTGCTGGGGCCCAGGATCTGGGAGAGCACAGCAGCAGCAGCCCTCAAGGAAGAGATCATCTTGGCCGGGTGGGTTCTTCACCCTCACTCAGCCAGGACCCGGGCATGAGGTGAGCAGGTGGGTGTGCGGCGGGGCAGAGCAGGGTGGAGTCTCCCCAGGGTAGTTCTCCTCTGGGGATCAGGATGGTGAGGAAGGCAGCGCTGCCTGAAAGAGACAGAAAGGGAACGTGCATCACTCCAGGCTCAAGGACAACTTTCATGTGCTACCTCTTCCAGCTTCTGGGAAAAAAAGATGGGGGAAGAGGGGGCTAACTCAAGTGAACCACGGGCAGGACTCAGCAGGGAAGTGCACTAGAGCCAGACTTGGCGCTCAGGAGGCCTGGACGACGAATTCAAAGGGCTGGACCAAGTGAGACTTCAGAGAAACTTGCCCGCTGCCAGCCCCCCACGCGCTTGTGAGTTTCTCCAAAATTCCCCCACACCGCCTCACCGGAGGCCGCGGGGCCCCGTGCCGGGGCGCAGCGCTTTCAGAATAAAGTTTGCGAAGAGCCTCGCTGGGCCGGGCTGCCCAGCGCCCCCGGCACGGAAGCGGGGGCGCGCCCGCGGGGAGCCTGCGCCCGCCCGGCCCG